GTTGTCATTGGGGTGCACTTCACATTATGTGTTACTTGATTCGTTGGTTTGTAGCCTAACAAGTTATAAGATACGCTGCATGTTTCAAGAATAGATCCTTCATTCGATTAGTGTTTTTTGAGAAGCTCTATTTCGTGTAATTCATTCACTTTTGCTCTAGCTGTCTCTTCTTATTATTGTCAACCCGAAATTAAGATCTGTATTTGTTGGAATAATATTTCCAATTCAATTAATCATTGTATTAATTGTTTTTCGCAAATCCTTGATTGATGTGTTTTTATTCTGCATTTTATTTTATAGTTTTCAGTGAACTACTTTGACTGCTTTAACGTGCAAGATGTGGACGATATGAAAGTGTAACTAATCAGGAACACTCTGCTCATGGTAATGTCGATGACTTCTACAAATACTGAAGGCAGTTGGGTGGTACTACTGCTGAGGCTATGCGTGATAATTTCGCTGTAAGTCCAACTTATCCTATCTTTTTTGTAGCTTTTTGTTTGGGGTTTGAATGCCTCCAGAGGCAATATTTTTAGTTTGAGGCGGATCGCAAACCCATTATTATCACAGTTACTCTTTGGCCTAGAAGTGAGCAGAGATGATCGTGAGAAAGTATATCCCAGATGTGGCTTTGTACGCAGAAGGTGAGCACGTTGATTGCTTTCTTTTATCTCTTCTAAAATTACATTTCAGTACTTTCTAGTCCTCGAGCCGACGCATTTATACGATCAGATAAAGCTGAAATGCGAATACCATGCCGATTACAAGCCTTTATTGGAACGCATCCGTGTTTTCTGGTAAAAACGCTTAATGGCAAATTTTTCGAAGAAGAGGTTGGTGTCTTTTTTTAACTTGAATTATTTTTGTGCGCGGGGAAGCAACGGATTTGGGATTGATGGAATTTATGGGGTTTCTATGCAGGGTTGTTTATTCCAGTGTTGTTTCTCGTGGGCAAATAGCGCATTCATAGGGCAACTGTTTCCATTCTAACGTGTAACCGTTTATTACATACTTGCTACTGGAAATTATGGGAATGCAAGTAACATAGACCTGACTCTTGCTCTAATCCTCTATTATTGGACTCAGTGCGTGCGTTTCTCTGACAAATGCCTTCAGCGCCTAGGACATTGCCTGAGTACACATACTATGCAGGTGAATAATGGCTATTTCATTGTGATTAATTGAACGATAGTTTCAATTTAGGGCCTGAAGTTCTCATAAGATTCTTAAATCGCTGGCGGCCTTTGCCATTGATTACCCTGGTCTGCCGATGAGTGCTGCGTTGGTGATCACTTTTCTGAACTCCTTATTATTAGCAAGACCAGCCTCAAAAGCACAGGTTTGCGGTCAGCATCACTTTCTCTTCTTCTGTCCCAACTCCTACTTGAAGATACTTTTTTCAGGAAATTAAAGACTTCATAGATGAGCTGCATTTGCTACCTGCATTTTATTGGAACATCTTATTCAGACAGACACTATTGATTAGCAGGTTGTGGCTTTTGGAAGCAAATGTTCAAAACGGAAGTGATCTACTGTTGTTTGACAGTTCATTAAGTTCTTATTTTAGGTATTTTAGCATGTAAACTGTTGAATTGTGTTTATGTGAACCTGTTCTGTCATTCATGATCTTGTTTTGTGTGAAGACTAAATTTGTGACTTAATTTGAAATTTACTGGTTTGCAAAACCTAAAAACGAAATGAATAAATCTACATAACTCATTAGCAGTTCTATGGAATTGGATGAAACTGTGCAAGCATAAGGCTAAAAGTGTTACAGTCATAGACATCGAACTGGGCCTCATATATCCTGCGGTCGGCTTTAAGCCGGAGCCAAAGGGGAGTGGCCACGCATCACGAGGGGTTTGGTGGAGGAGAGCAAGGGATTTCCAATCGGGAGAAGTTACTAATGATTTCAGCGGCGTTCTCGACCATAGCAAGTCGCGGAGACAATCCTCAGATTCACGCTCGTCAGTCCGATGACGTCGTACTTGATCTTCCTGGCTTGCATCATCAGATCTTCGATGTGAGCTTCGGATGCAAGCGTCCGTGCGTTGAAAGTACAGATCGCCATCTTAGTCCTTCTGTTTAGGCAGCCTATCCGGGCCCTGAGATTCTAGCAGCTTCTCTCGGCCCTACCCAACGGCCATTGGGGACTCCTTCAGTTCCTATTTATATTTTGTTCTGTTTAGAATCGGATTACAATAAAACATTGTACACATAATGTGTGTAAAGTTGGGATAGTTATCCCCAATGCATGCTTTTCTGAAGTCAGCTGGCGAGACAGCTCAATTACAAGTGTTGTGGCTCTGTTTTCAGTGCTCGAAAATGTCTCAATCGTCATTCTACGACGAGAACAACAATGCTGTGGGAGCCGATGCTCATCCCAATGAAGGGACTGTACAGGTCAAGTGATTGATGTAAACGCCCTGGACCTAATTACCTCGATGAATTCCCTTCCCAGTATAATTACAGTGTGACTTTAGCTTCTGGTGCAGCCGCTTCGCAACCATCGCCTTCAAATGCCTCTGTGTGCTTCGAAGGTGATGAGCGATATTCATTTGATTTTGAATGAAACCGCAAGGAACTTGAGATAAGATTCATTCCCTTCAGAACTCAGTGGGACATCTGGACCCCGCTCTCATCGGCGCGTATCCCTGCAAGGGGAACTATTCCATGGTGTCGTTGAGGCCAGTAAACACGGTACCCATCCTGTTATAAGGTACCCCATTCCAGGTCAGTGTAAGGATAGCACAATGCAAATATTCATGCAATTGCCATCTATCTATTGATTTTTGAGGTGGCCCACTGTGTTACGTCTTTGAGTACCAACGCCGGACTACACAGGGGCAAGTAGTGTACCGCTGCATTGGTTGCAAGAGAAATCAAAGAACCACTAGTGTTGCGGTACTGATTGCTTCTAGCGTTGGTAATATGTTTTACAATTACATGATTGACATGATATTTCAGGTGCTGAACGGATCCGACCTAGTCGGCGACCCAGCCCTTCTGCCTCACGTGTGCCTCCCCAGGAAGAATGCGCAGGATCGCGTGACGCGATTAGTCTATAAGGTGAGCAACAGTAGATAGGTTTTCCCTATCCTTGTCAGTTACGATGATTTAGTGCTCAGATTGATTTTATTCAGTCCTGCCAAGAAATCGCGAAGGATGGGCGGCTTGTCAACGCGAGACCAAGGGAACTGTGGCAGAACATGGCGGAGCAAGTGCATTACCAGGAAGGCACCAGTTAGTTACATTCTGGACGATCGCCTACAGTAGTAGATATAGCACTTTCAGGTGAAGCAGAGAGGAACGAAATGCTGCACTATTTCACAGAAACGGTATGAGGCGCGCCGAAAGTCTGTAGCGAGGTAGGAGCGCTGATGTGTTTAAATGGACGTGTAGCACCGGTTATGATGGTTTTCAGGGCTGTTGCGAGACTGCAAATTACCAGGTTCAATAGAGAACGTACGTGGCATTCGCTTTCCTCAACGACGCACGGAGTTTCTCGATTTACCTGAATACTATTTATACTCGCCGCAATTTTGGAGGTGAGCTGTCACAAGTTTTGAGTGCTGTGTTGGTCACCCATGCCTTACTCCCATGAGTGACCGTTTTCCTTCATTCTAGAAAGCATGCCAGCTAGGCTTTACTGCGTTGGTGGCGGACGGCGTCCACGACTTATAGCGACGCCACCAAGAACAGGCAGCTGTATACTGTCCACGGAGTGGTGGCGAACTCTGTGGATATCCGCTTGCTCTTTGCCATAACCATCGGGTATCATGTGTTTGTGAATAGAAATTGTGATTTCGAGTCTTCTATCCATAATGTTCTTCCAGGAAAAGTGAAGAGGTTTACTCTTATCTTCGAACTCAGGATGCATTGCTGAGTGGAGAAAACACAGCACTCCGGCATCCTGCTGGATTGTCAAAATGCGAATATACGCGGAAGAGTTGCATAGGTGAGATATGCGTTCATTTGCGCAAGCCTGGAACAAAAAGAGATATGCGCTACGGGTTTGCGACGCACAGGTAAAAGGTCTCAACGGAGTAGACGTGTAAAGATGGTGGCGTACCATCAAAGGGCTAATTTTTCTTCCAAAAGAGCTACACCGTAGAGTCCCGGCACTTTTGCGTCCCCCTCCCCAGAGGACATGCAGCGCACTTGAAGTGCTGCATGTTTCTGGAATATTTACGTGACAATTGGTATCCGAGGACCATTTAGGAACATGTGGAACAAATGGAATGTGCTGGAGTTGCGCACCACCAATATCGCGGAATCGTACCACAGGTGCTTAATTGAAGTTGCTGTTGCTGTTGTTTCTGCTTTTATAATTATGTTTCAAGCAGCTAGGTACGCGGTTCAGGGAAAAATACCCTCGCATGAGCGATCTACTCTTTGCTCTGCGAGGGTACGTCACTACTGCGAGGGCTGATCTCCTCAACATTCAAAGAGTAGGTTTTAGAGGGTTTCAAATGTGTACTCGTGATTTTCGCAATGAATATATCAGTTGCAGAGAAGGGATGAAAAGCGCCTGAACAAAAAGGATATCCTCCGTCGTCGTCGAATCGAGAGGGAAATGTCCCGATTTGCGACAATCCTGGAGCAAAGCGGGAATCTCCCTTCTAAGGAAGATATTATGGAATTCTGCCGGAGAATGTCCCGTTTCGTCACGGAAAAGATCGTCCAACAGGTACAGTGATATAGTGGCGTGAAATAAATGAAGTCTACATCTAGGATTAACCGGCGAACCAGTGCCCCATTCTTCTCAACCTCATCTCCATTCCTAGTTCTGCCTTATCCCTTTCGTGCTTGTGCACTATATCAAGGAGAAAGGATAAGTTTAAATTTATAACCCTTCATTGTGCCTTATATTTCAGTGTTCATTTTATGAAATGTTTTTTCCTAGTTTCCCAACCATGACATATTATGCTACCTCCTACAACCCGATCTTTCTATACACGGCACATGGAGCTGTAAGTTTGTAAGTTCTACCTGGCTTCAATCCGA